ATGATTTCTAAAAGTACAGAGTGAGTGAAATGATGATTTTTCTCTTTTTTTCCAGTGGTCCCATGCCCTGGAGAAGCCCAGCACTGGCAGCATTTTTGGCATCTCCTGGTCCATCGATGGCACGCAGCTGGCAGGAGCCTGCGCCAACGGCCAGGTCATCTTTGCCCACCTGCTGGAACAGCACTGGGAGTGGCAAAACTTCCTAATTACCTTAATTAAGAGAAGAACCATGAAGGTAAAATCCCCTCAGAGCTGCACAGCCCGATCCCAAAGCTTGTTTCAGTGCAAAATGGGGATTTTGGGTTGAATTTGTGTTGCCAGACGTTGACTCACAAGGTTTTTTTTCCTCTGGGATAATCAAGATTTCCATCCTTCCACATTTTCCAAGTTACACATTTGGGGCTTTTCAGCATCGAGTTCCTAAATTCCTGATGAGACCCTTCAATGTTTTTTTTTTTCATTTTCATGTTGGGTTTGGAATTGGGAAGAGCTGGAACAGAGCTGGGTTTGGGGCTGGACCGTGGGTGGGATGCTGTGAGTCAGTGTCTGGGAACACACAGCACAAATGGGCTCAAAATTCCCAATTTTCCCCTCATTCCCAGACACCGACTCGTTCCAGATGCACTTGGGAATGATCTCTATGAGGTTTGAATTCTCTTTGTCAATTCAAAGAGTGAGGAGACGTAGCTAACCCTGACTCATTTTTAATTTTCATTCTTTTACGGTGATTTTAATCCTATGTATTATGTAGGAAAAACTCTACCAAATCCTACAAAAAACTTGCAGATGGATTTTTTTTTTTTTTTCCTGAGTATTACAATGGCAAAGTTAATTAGTGATGCTGTGGTGGGCATAGTAATTAACATATCCTTGGAAATGGTTTCCAGGCTCTTGGAATAATTGAGGTCAGTCCCTGTTTTGCATAATGGAGAAGATCAAAAGGAAGTTACCACCCTCAGAATGGTGACATCTTCAAAAAAAAAAAACCCAAAATCCCACAAAAAAACAAAATACTCTTTTGTTTGAGATCCCCCCCCATCTAAAATCTCTGAGCTGAAAAATCTGTGGCAAATTCTGATTTTTTTGAGCAAATTTTAAGCAGAATAAGAAGAGCACAACCTGCTCAGCCAGCCCATCTCCTGAATTTCCTGTGCTTCCAGCTGTGGAATCCTCAAAATTCCAGAGCTCTGCAACATCTTCACCCAGTGCTGGATATTGCTGGATTGTTTGGATGAAGTGTTTATTTAAATAGCACCAAAATTTATTTAAATAACACCGAAATTTATTTAAATAACAATGAAATAAACATTGTCATGCTCATTTCAAATACTCAATTTATCAACAGCTGAGCAGTCTTAAAGTGGGAATTTTCAGACCTCATCTAGTTAAAAATATAACCTCAAAATATAAATATATAGTATTTCTATATAAATATAAAATATTTATATTTATGTTTAAGGTATATATAAAATATTAAAATATAAACTCAAAAATTCATCATTGAATAATCTATTTAATTAACTGAACATTACACCATTATAAACATTTAAAAATAAACATAAGTATTAATTATCATAATAGTTATACAAATTTAACAAAACAATATTCAAAGACTCCTCCATCTCAAATGACTTTCTCAGCAGGAATATTTGATGGGCTAATTTGAATTTCAGCTCTTGTGTGTAATTCCATGAGATTTCCCTGTGCTCAGGTGCACAACGTCATCAACGAGGCCGTGGATCTGCTGGAATTCCGGGACAGGGTCATTAAAGCCTCCCTGAATTTTGGATATTTGGTGGTCGCCACTTCCCTGCAGTGTTACGTGTTTTCGTGAGTAAATAAAAAATAAATTCCTCCTCCTCACTTTGGTTCGAAAAGTGGCAGAGACTTCATTGGAAGCACAAGAATTCAATTATTTTAAATATTTTTATTTTTTTAAATTTTATTTTTAATTGAAATAGTCAATGGACTATCTGCTCAGTGAACACTAGTAAAACAGAAATATTTTAAAAATTAAATAATCCATATCAATATAATTTTGCTATTTTTTCCCTGCAATGTAATGTGTTTTCGTGAGCAAAATAAATTCCTTCTCCTGACTTTGGTTGGAAAAGTGGCAGAGACTTCATTGAAAGCACAAGAATTCAATTATTTTAAATATTTTTTTTTTAATTTTATTTTTAATTGAAATATTCACTGGAATATCTGCTCAGTGAACACTAGTGCAGATCACTCTAAATCAGTCAGAAATATTTTAAAAATATTTTACAAGTAAAATAATCCATAGAAATATAATTTTGCTGATTTTTCTGTTACATGTCTTCATGAGTAAAACAAATTCCTCTTCCTCACAATGTTTGGAAAAGAGTGGCAAAAACTTGATTGGAATCAGAGTAATATATTTATTTTTCATTTTTTAAAATTTTATTTTTAAATGAAATATTCAGTGGAATATCTGCTCAGTGAACGCTAGTGCAGATCGCTGTAAAAGAGTCAGAAATATTTTTTAAATATTTTACAAATAAAATAATCCATATAAATATAATTTTGCTGATTTTTCTGTTACATGTCTTCATGAGTAAAACAAATTCCTCTTCCTCACAATGTTTGGAAAAGAGTGGCAAAAACTTGATTGGAATCAGAGTAATATATTTATTTTTCATTTTTTTAAATTTTATTTTTAATTGAAATATTCAGTGGAATATCTGCTCAGTGAACGCTAGTGCAGTTCGCTGTAAAAGAGTCAGAAATATTTTTTAAATATTTTACAAATAAAATAATCCACATAAATATAATTTTGCTGGTTTTTCAGACTCCTGGGGGTGTGGAGTGGATGAAACAAAGGCAATAATATTATTCCATCATATTTTGTGCTCCTCAGCGTTCCTTGGCTTCCCAAAAGCTGCTTGAAGCTGGAAAATCTCCATTTTAGGAAGATATGATGACTAAAAATGTGTCTTTTACATAAAATACATGTGATTTGATGATTAAAAATGTGTATTTTATGTGCTGAATCCAAGTTTGTGTTTGAAATATGTGGAAATAACTGATTTTAATGCTGATTTTCTTATATTTGCAGCACAAAGAACTGGAACACTCCATTGATTTTTGACCTGAAGGAAGGGACTGTGAGTTTGATTCTCCAAGCAGAAAGGTGCCTGAATTTAAAATGCTCATTAAGAACATAATAAAACTATTAAATAAATACATTTATTATCTATACTATAAATAAATTTATTTATTATGTTATCTGTATTATAAATCCATTGTTTTATTTATTATAATAGAATTATTTATTGTATACTTATTAGTATTTTATACTAATTTTTTAGTATTTTATACTGTTTTATACTTTGTTATATACTTATTAGTATTTTATACTTTATATATACATTATTAATATTTAATAGTATTATATATTATAATACTATTATTTATTATAATAGCATTATTTATTATAATAGTATTATTGATTATATTTTCTTCATTGTATATATAATGAACAAAATAAGCTCAAATTGAAATAGCAGAAATAAACAAAAAAATACCCAGATAAAATAATAAATATTTGACATAATAAATATTTCTCCTGGAAGAGGATAATACATTAAAAAATCCAAACTTTTCCATACAGAATTTCCAGAATATCTTGAAAATTTAAAGCTTAGGAATGATGGAAGCTGGAAGAAAAGTTGCAGAATATTAAACATTTCCCATTGTTGAAAATACCATTTTTTATATAATTTACTGATTTACTGATTGTAGTGGGGTTTTTTTTTCTTTATTTTTTAGGCATTTTCTTCTCGTGGATGGTGGAGGACTTTATTTATATTCCTATGAAGGCAGATTGATTTCCTCTCCAAAATACCCAGGCATGAGGACAGAGATTTTAAATGCCCTGACAGTGTCCCTGAGCAATGACACCCTGGCAGTGAGGGACAAGGCTGATGAGAAGGGTAAAATCTGCTTTATTTCGGATAAAAATACATTTATTCAGTATGAAACACACACATCCATTCATCTATTCAGTACAAAAATTAATTCAAGTTACGGGCCTTGCTTAAAATTAATTGAATTACTTGAAAATTAATTCAATTAATTGAAAAACTTCAAGAGAATGGTTTGGCTCTGAATTTCCAGTTGATCCATGGAATATTTACAGAATATTGAATACATTTTTACTCCCTGAAGGCATTTCTCAATTTTCTCTCTTTCCAAGCATTGATAAATTGTGAGTTAATCTGATATTGAAAATGTGGATTTATTTAGATTATGGATGCAGGCTTTTATCACAATTTGGTGTCATTTCTGGAAAGCTCCATTTGAGATAGGAAATGAAAAATAGGGATAGGAAGTGAAAATTCAGATTTTTTTAAAAAATCTTTTTTTAATATTTTTTTCACCACCATGTGAAAGTCACTGGTAAAACTCACGTGGAATATTTTACCACTTGCACTAATTTACACTCAAAAAAGAACGGAGTCACTGGAAAAATACATTAAGAATTCTGCTTTTATTAATAAACTATAAAATTATTTTTCTTCAGTTATCTACATCTTTGAAGCTTTATCTGGGAAGCCACTGGGTGATGGAAAACCTCTGACCCACAAGGTAAAGTGAAGGCTTTAATGTTTTTATTTTACTCAAAAATTAAGAATCACTAATGGTTTTCTTCAATAATGGGACTAAAAACCCGTGAAAGGTTTTAAAATCTTAATAGAAAGGAGCTTTTCAGCTGACTTTTAATGCTTTGTGTTGTCTTCATAATTGTTTTAATCTTCATGAAATTCAGTTTATAAACTCACAGAATCATGGAATGTGTTGGGTTGGAAAGGACTTTAAAATACTCTTAATTTTAACCCCATGGAATTATTTATTCCACAGAGAAATCACACACAAAGTGTTTTTCCAACCCACTTTATCCAAGAATTTTGTGCCTTGATTTAAGGAAAAAAATAAATTTGAATGTTCAAATATAAAATCTGCAAAAGAAGAATCAGAGATTCTCTTTTTATCTTTTCAGACAGAGATTGTAGAGATTGCTTTGGACCAGAAAGGACTGACAAGTGAGAGAAAAATAGCTTTTATTGATAAGAACAGAGATCTTTTCATCACCTCAGTGAAAAGGTTTGGGAAAGAGCAGAAGATCGTCAAAATAGGTGAGAAAACTTCAATGATGTTTGGGAGATGCTGGGAGGGAAATAAATTTGTACTTAATACCAGAGGCAACATTTTACTTAATTAATAGTGAAATTGAATTGGAAAAAAAAAACCAACCTGTGGATTTTATATGATAGAGGTAAGAACAATGTCACTAAATTTTATCTAAATTCTGCTAATTTTTTTAGCAGTACCATGCAAAGCAGCTTTTAAAATGTTACAAATTTGGGGTTAAAACCTTAAAAAAGCAACCAAAAATGCTGAATAACCACCCTGTTAGAATTTGAAGTTTTTCCTTGAAATGTCTTCTTTATTTCTTTATCTATTTATTAATTGTTGATAATTCTCTGCTGTCTGTAAATGAAGGGACAATGGTGCAGAGCTTGGCCTGGAATGACACCTCCAACATCCTCTGTGGCATTCAGGATTCCAAGTTCACAGTCTGGTATTATCCCAACACAGTCTACGTGGATAAAGACCTTCTCCCAAAAACCCTGTATGAAAAAGATGCCAGGTAAGCAACTTTTTTAATCCAAATTTGATTTATTTTAACTATTTGCCTCATTTCCTAACAAATGGTGCATGGGAGAAGTAAAAGCGGGCCTTGCGACTTGTAAAATTCTCCTGTTTCTTGCTTGGGAAATGAAGGAAAAGGGATTTATAAGGAAAATTATAAAGTTTAGGGTTGCAATGATAATGCAAGGTTTGAAAGCAGAGAGGTAATAGCAAAGTTTGAATTCTTTCTCCTATAATTTTACCTCAGGTTTTGTAAAAAAAAAAAAAGAAAATACTTATTCTGATGATGTCTGAAATTAAAAGCGGCAAAACAACACCTCACAGAGAAACAAAGAAATACTGACTTTTTTTCTCTTTTTCCACGCAGTGAATTCAGCAAGGCCCCACAGATCCTGAGCTTTGTGGGGAGCCAGGTGACCATCCGGAGGGCGGACGGGTCCCTGGTGCACCTGCACGTGTCCCCTTTCCCTGCCATCCTCCACGGCCACGCCAGCGGCGCCCGCTGGGAGCAGGGCCTCCGCCTCTGCAGCTTCGTCCAGGTACCGGCCACCACCTCCTTCTTTCTTCCAGGATTTTTCATCCAGGAGCTGTCCTGGTTTGTAAAATCAGCATGGATTCTATTTGCCATCTGTTGGAGGTTGAGCAGTTTTCTTGTCTCTTCCAAGAGCAGTGTCTCCCTCCAGGGTGAGATCTGGCTGGGAAAGTTCCATCATCCCATGGTGAGATGCTCCACCCAGAGGGAGGAGCCAAGCAGCCCCACCTGCAAAAAATCAGCATTTTTCTTTCTTCCAGGATTTTTCATCCAGGAACTTGTAAGATCAGCATGGATTCTATTTGCTATCTGTTGGAGGCTGGGAAGTTTTCTTATCTCTTCAAGAACAATGTCTCCCTCAGGGAGAGATCTGCTGTTAATGGCCATTAATGACTCACTGCATGGCTGGGAAAGTTCCATCAGCCCATGGTGAGATGCTCCACCCAGAGGGAGGAGCCAAGCAGCCCTACCTGCATAAAATCAGCATTTTTGGGACACCAGAGACTTTCTATAATCTCATTTAAATCATTTAAATACCAAAAATTCCATCATACCTGGGGTGATTGCTTGGTTGGATTCTGGTGAGGATTGTTTGAGCCTGATGGCAAATCCAACCCACCTGGGGCTGGATTCTCACAAGAAGGTCACAAGTTATGAGTGAGTTAGATATGGTAGTTAGAACAAGTAGGTTTGCAGTTTTAGTATCCTTTAAATAGTATATTAATGTATTATAGTATAATTATAATAAATCATTCAGCCTTCTGGAGTTACACATCATAATTCCTTCCCACCGGCTTCACTTGCATTTGCAGTAAGGTACCCGTGATTTTTGGCAATATTCACAACCACTTTTGATGGTTTTAAGTGTTCTTCAATGGTGATCTCTCCATATCATTTCCAGCCTGCTTTGTCACTCATGGAAAATGAGGTGGTTTTGTTAATGCCATAACATCATCATTCCATAAGTTCCGTGGTAAATAATAATTCTTATTTTTAGCCATACCAGAATCCAGCTGGATTGAACACAAGTGCTCACAGAATTCAATTCTAAACTTAAATTTTCTTAAAGTTTTTAAACTCGAACACAGGTGTTCACAGAATTCAGTTCTAAACTTAAACTTTCTTAAAGGTTTTTAACNAATTCTAAACTTAAATTTTCTTAAAGTTTTTAAACTCGAACACAGGTGTTCACAGAATTCAGTTCTAAACTTAAACTTTCTTAAAGGTTTTTAACTTAAGGTCTGGGCCTTAATATAACCAGTATTTAAGGTCTGGGCCTTAATGTAACCAATGAAAAGTGACATTTCCACAATTACTGTTTATTTGCATCTTTTATTTCACTTCTTTTTATTTTCTTCCTTTCCCATTGCTTTCTTTTGAGTTTATTTAGACAACAGGAGCAGATGAGGTGAGTGTGGTAGTTTATAAAACAATATCCCTTCAAACCTTCCTTCCCATTTATTCCTAGAAAAGTTTAGTGCCTTAAATGTGTATTTCAGATATTTGTGTAACCAATTATTAATTGATAATTTGGGTTATAGCAGATTGAGATTTCAGATAAATTGGGATAACAGTTAATTTGGGTTGCATAATTAGAATTAATTGTAACAATCTTTATTTGTAGTGTCCACATCACCTGATTTAAGCATCCAAGTCAGGATATTTTGATTTTGGCAGTCCAGGTAGAGAATTGTTATTCCAATCAGGAATAACAAAATGAGTCAATTTTTTGACGGGGGGGAAAAAAGCAGCAAGAAACAGCTTGGAACCATCAAAAAAAAAAATTTCATCTCCTGGATAATTTCAAGCTGAGCTTTCAGTATTTTATCACCTGAATTTCTAAATAAAAGGGAAGTGGGAAGGGAATGCGACAAAGATTTTAAGAGCGTTTGATCTCTGAACAATCTGAATTTTCCCAAATTCTTGGGAAATATGGGAATGTGTTCAGAGCAGCCTCAGTGCAGCTGCTCCCTCTGGTTTCAGGCAGGAGGATCCTTTTCAAACCCTCAAAGTCTTTATTTCCACATTTCTTACTGAGCACACTCAACAAAATTCTCCTGAATTCCTGGACTAGCTCATCCAAAATTACATTTTCCTGCCTGAATAGAGTTTTAGATGTTGTAGCTTAAACTATATTAAAATATCATCTATTAGTCTATAAAATATCCTCTATACTATGTTAAAATACGGTTTATTAGTGTGTCTTTGCTGTAATGCTGTCACTTGAAAATCCATCAAAATGTCATTAGGATCTTCCTAGATTCTGAGTTCATGGGGTTTCCTCAAGGTTGGGTAAAATACCCCAAAAAACCCTCACAGAAACTATAAAAGTAATACATAAAATAATAATAAAAGGGTAAAAAATTAATATATAAAAATAAATAAATATTTATNGTTTGATCTCTGAACAATCTGAATTTTCCCAAATTCTTGGGAAATATGGGAATGTGTTCAGAGCAGCCTCAGTGCAGCTGCTCCCTCTGGTTTCAGGCAGGAGGATCCTTTTCAAACCCTCACAAAGTCTTTATTTCCACATTTCTTACTGAGCACACTCAACAAAATTCTCCTGAATTCCTGGACTAGCTCATCCAAAATTACATTTTCCTGCCTGAATAGAGTTTTAGATGTTGTAGCTTAAACTATATTAAAATATCATCTATTAGTCTATAAAATATCCTCTATACTATGTTAAAATACGGTTTATTAGTGTGTCTTTGCTGTAATGCTGTCACTTGAAAATCCATCAAAATGTCATTAGGATCTTCCTAGATTCTGAGTTCATGGGGTTTCCTCAAGGTTGGGTAAAATACCCCAAAAAACCCTCACAGAAACTATAAAAGTAATACATAAAATAATAATAAAAGGGTAAAAAATTAATATATAAAAATAAATAAATATTTATATTTATTTAAAAATATATACACAAAAAAGATATAAAATATAATATTTGTATTTTATAATACAGAATAATAAATGTTATTTATATTTTATTTATTTATTGTATCTAATTATTATTTACATTTTATTATATAAAATAATAATTAAAAGGGTTAAAAAGTAATATGAAATATATATAAATAAATAATATATATTTATGTATTTATTTATAAATTTATAAAGAAGATATATAAAATATAATTTAAAGTAATAATAATAAAAAGGTTAGAAAGTAATATATAGTATAAATAATATCTATATTTTATGTATTTATTTATAAATAAACAAGATATATAAAAATATCATTAAAAGTAATATATAAAATAATAAAAAATATTTTAAAAGTAGCATATGAATATATAAAAATAAATACATAATATATTTGTGTATTTACTTAAAAATTTATGAATAACCAAGATATTAAAATATAATAAAAAGTAATATGTAAAATAATAATTTAAAAGTGTAATATTATTATTACCATGAAGTTTTTCTAATTCCTCATTCTGAGAAACAAAGAATAATTTCCTAACAATAGACTTAGAGCACAAAGCCATAAAGGACACACAGAGAAATGCAATATCCCACATCATTTCTAAACCTTGTGTCGTTGCCTTGAGGAGCCGTTTGCAGCCTGACGATGAACATTTGAAGGTTCCCATGTTGTTTTTATTTGGAATTTCAGGACCAGACCCTGTGGGCTTGCCTGGCTGCCATGGCAGTGGCCAGCAAGGAGATGAGCACGGCTGAAATCGCCTACGCAGCCATCGGCGAGGTGAGGA